GTGTTTGATATGCACTTCACTTGCCATAGGCTTAATTATTGGCCCGGAAGGAGGCTGCAATATACACATACATACATATATTTATATATATATACGTGTGAGGTCTGTTACGCCAAATAAATATTTGAAATACAACTTAAATTCGTTGGCAGATATAGTCTCGACTCTGGGCCAACAACTTCAACGGATTACAGCGGAGGCTCGAGGCAAAGCTGACGGAATTTTCAATGAAACTGAAAGTCGGAACAGCCCTAATAAGTAAGTACCTTAGCGCATGTTGTCAATTTATGCACGGCAAGGACAACATTGAGGGCATGACAAATGAATATCGGATTAGTTCTGAGCTGTTGCCTTCCACTCAATTGTCATTAGGGCTGTTGTCCTCTGCGCGTTGTTTTCATTTCATTTCCAGTTGCCTTTTATGCAACAAGCAAGTCCTTGCTTCAGCTGCGCAGAGGGCGAGGCCGAGGCACGCAAGGACTGCTGCTTAACAAGGCCGTCTCCTCCTGCTGACATGGCTGCTTCACTGTGAAGAGCCCCGCCAAAGTGGCCTCGGACAGGATGATCTCGACGGCGGTGCTCAGCGACAACATGGCAACGGCAACGCGTTGTCGATCGCCATGGTGTCCTGCAACAAAGCATTGCTGCTCCAGCAACAACTATAACTACTTCTCTGTAGCAACACTGGCTCCAAGCAACTGTGCAGTTAGCAATGGCTTCACCTTGCTCGATTTGGAGCCATTGTCTAACACGTATGAGCCGCAGCACGTTGTACAACGTCATTCCCCTCATTCCATTCAGAGCAGCACAATTTCTGTGGTAATTCCCAGTCGTCGTTGCATTACCCCTGCCCTGCGCCCCACACTCGAGCTGAGCGTAATGGGGACTCCTGTATGGGGAGCTGCCACCCCCATAAGCTGCTTGTAATAGTAACATCAGTTTAATTTGCTTCTCCCAAATGAATTCCAGCTGCTAACAGACCTACAAAACTGGACCATGATGCACAAGAACTAATAATATATATATTTATATGTAACTCTAATACAAATATTATATATATACATACTATAAGTTGCCTCTACTCATCTAGATGTAGGATAGTGTTTGTTATTTGTGGCATTCAGTTTCAATTATAATTTAAATTTTGGTGTGCCTGAGATCTAATCGATTCGTCCTGGAAACGTGATATTTAGTTATTCACATTGAATTATGAAATACATTTCAGAGTTCAGAGTTTATTCTCTCTTCTACGATAAATTAGTTTTTATGTTACGTACAGGAGTTTTGGAAAAGAATGAAATCGGGAAAAATTTTATTGCAAAGAGAAAACCATTAAAAATATTGTAATATACTTAAATCCTTAGACTAGTGTGTAAAATTTGCCATGTATCAAAATTATTATAATCATTATAAATAATATAAACAAGTAAGAAAGCTCTAGTCGAGACTGCTCGACTAGGAGATACCCTGAACCCTYHAAGCTGATATTCTAATCATTCTGCACTTCTTTTATGCACACATACATACACATGCATCCACACGCACGCATAAGCCTGCGCTCTGCTAACTGCGCAGTAAGCAGCGACTGCGCTTGGGCTGCGCTGCAGTGTGGGCAATATTATGAGAATTTATTTGTTAAATAATTTCTTTTGTAGACATACGATCTTAATGAAACTTTTAGAGCGTAATCATATGGTGAATATGTGTGTATATTCCAAAGCCCAAGTCTCTAGTATTTGAAATACGCTTTTTACAAAAGTGAGGGTGAGGGGGTGAATTTAAGGGTGGGGGGTAAATTTTAACAAAAACCGAAATTGTATAAATTGCATATAAGCATACATTAAAAATTTGGAGACTCTAGCAATAAGGGTGTAGAAGATATAATTTTATAACTGGTTTTCGATAAGGTTTTTTATCGATAAAAAAAGATCGGGATGAGTTATCGATTTTTAATGATAAACTTGATATGCGCGCTGTAATTACGGACATTTTAAAAAAAATTTGAAGTCTCTAGCTCTTATATCTTCTGAAATCGACGCGTTCATACATACGGACGGACGGACGGACGGACGGACGGACGGACGGACGGACGGACGGACAGACAGACGGACAGGGCCAAATC